CATGAGTTCAAAGCTAGCCTGAACTGCACAGTGAGATTCTGTATCAAAAAAACAAAACAGAAACAACAACAAAAGTTCCAACCTAGCTTGGGCAACTCAGAAAAAACCTACCTCAAAAAATAAACAAAGGTTGCTGATATAGCTTAGTGCAAAGGTCCTGGGATAAATCCCTACTACTACTACCACTACTACTACTACTACTACTACTACTACTACTAGTAACAACCCAATAAAAATAAAATAAAACAAAAAGGGCTGGAGATGTAGCTCAGTGGTAAAGTACCCCTTGGGTTTGATCTCTAGTATAGCGAAAGACATAAATATGCATTCTCCCATTCCACTGATAAGGAAAATGAGACACAATAATGCACTAAAGATCACTGGAGTTGAATTAAAGCACATGCTCTTTAAAATAGTATGCAGCATTTTTGAAAAATAAGAAGAGGGAAATACTGTAATCCTAATATTTATGACCATTATTAGTAGTAGTAGTATGTATGACCATTTTTATTATTTCACTACATTTTGTACATTCACCCTTTTTCATATTTCATTTTATTTCATTACTATAGATTTTCAGGAGTAGTCAAGAAATATAAATAATTTTATCAAAGACCATTTTTTTCCACTTTTATCATATTGCCTAAGAAACTACCAGATTTGAAAGCAAGCAACTTCCCTTCTACTACAGGGGGAAAATAACTCACCACAAAAATAAAATCAGTCACTCCAAAAAAAAAGCTTCTGTGGCCTTATGGGCAGCACAGGCTTTGGAGTCAGGTCAGGGAATCTCAGTTCAGCTCCTTAGAGCTACTTTTTTGGGCAAGGCTCACTCTTTCTTGCTTAGTTTCAATTTCCTTATCTTTTAAAAAAGGTTAATACTTACTCTGGAGTGTTAATCTGAAGATATAGATAATGTATGTATATCATGGTACCTGGCATGTAGAAAGTATTCAACAAATAACAGATAAGTTCATGTTCCAATAAAAACAATATTAAAAAAGAAAAAGAAAACATTAAAGGTGTAAATAATAAAATGATTAGGGTAGCAGTCCATTTAACTGTAGACAGTAAGGTGCCTAGTGAATTTTAATCATATTAATTTAGGGGATATATTTTCATTATTTTTTTGTGATGCCAGGAGTTCAAATCAGGGCCTTGTACATGTAGGCAGGTGCTCTACCAGAATGGTACATCTCTATCCCAAAGTATATTTTTTAATTTTACTTGCTTCACTACAGGGGACTGAACCCAGTGGCACATTTATGCACCACTACCCTAACCCTAACCCTCTGCCCTTTTTGACCCTAAGACAAGGGCCCATAAATTGGCCAGGCTGGCCTTGAATTTATAGTCTTTCTGTGCAACCTCCCAAGTAGCTGGGATTATGGGTGTCTCAAAAACAAAAAGGGGTTGGAAACAGAGCTCAGTGGTACAGCACTTACCAGTATGTGTGACCTCTTGAGTTCAATTCCTCATAGCACACACACATAGAGAATGGTATACAAACAATAACAATATGATACGCTGAAATTATGTTATGTTATTTATTTATTTTTATTGGTACCAGGGATCGAACTCACGACCATGTGTTTGCAAGGCAGGCACTTATGCCGCTGAGCTAAGTCCCCAGCCCCGAATTTATGTAATTTACCTGGAGAAACCAAGAAGTTTGGCTGAGGAACAAGACTTATTTAATGTAAAATACAGATGGTGCGGTGGCACATGTGTGCAGTCCCAACACTCTGGGAGGCTGAGGCATCAGGGTTATGGGTTTTCAACCACCCTGGGCAATTCAACAATTTAGCAAGACCTTGTCTCAACATTTTAAAAAGGCTGAGGACGTAGCTCAGTGCAAAAGTCCTGGTTCCAATCCCCTAGTACTGCAAAAAGAATAACAAAACAAAAAACTAAGGTAAAACTTGAAGAGTAATAACCCTCAGGTGAGACAGTAAGAGAAGAAAAGATACTCCAGCAGACGTCCTGCATGTGCAGGCCCTTGCAAGAGTATACCAACATCAAGGAAGTTAGGTAATTCAGGATGAGTAATACAGAAGAACCTTGGAACACAAACAGGTTAGAGAAACCCTTTTAATACTGTACAAAATCTGTTACAGTGTTTTTAGACTTCATGTTGACACTTTGGGCAACACTATAAAGAGTAGACTAGAGGACAACTTGTTAATTACTGCAATATATTTGTAAGAACCATATAAGTCTGAATAGTGGGCATGAAAGGATGGGAAATACAATGTGATTTCTTTAAAAATTAAAAAACATTAAGTTGAGGTAAAATTTGCATCACATAAAATCCACCATATTCATGATTTTAAAATATATAATTCAGGCAGGAGTGCTGGCACACATCTATAATCCCAGCAATTTGGGAGGTGAAGCAAGAGGCTGGCAAGTTAGAGATCAGTGTGGACAATCTGGTTAGACCCTATCTCAAATCAAAATATAAAACAATGGTTGAAGATGCAGATCACTGTAGAGTGCCTCTTGGTTCAATCACCAATGCTGCATAAAGCAAAGCAACACAACTCAGGGCCAGGAATGTCGCTCAGTTGATACAATGCTTGCTTATGATACAGTGCTGGCATATCATGTGCAAGGCCCTGGGTTCAATGCCCAGTACCACCACACACACACATGGTGGGGGGGAGACAGAGGGAGGAGGAAAGAGAGAGAGAGACTTCAATGTTGCTTCCGTTTAAAAAATTATCTATTTTCTGCTTGGCACTTTTGCTTCCACTTTGATTAAAAAGTAATTGAATAACCATATTTCACTGGTAAACAGCTTTAGAAAACTTTTTCTTCTTGCCAGGCATGGTGCCACAAACCTGTAATTTCAGATTCAAGATGCCAAGGCAGGAGAATAGTGAGTTCAAGGTCAGCCTTAGCTAAATAACAAGACCCTGCCTCAAAACAAACACTTCACCTCTTTATTTAAAACAAATAATGAAAGCGAGGCACGGGGGCAAAGGCCTGTAATCCCAGCACTCTCTGTGCTTGGGAGGTCAGCCTGGGTTAGTGAGTTTAAGGCCAGTCTGGACAACATAGTTGAGACCCTATCTCAAAAAAAAAGCACATAAATAAACAAATAAAAATTTAAAAAAAATTATCACTGTAGAAGTTCAGACAATACCAGTATACAAGGTAAAATTTGAAAGCACTTCCTTCATAAACACTACCAACTGTCCTTGCCCAGAGACAGCCAATGTTAAGGGACTGCTATGTATCCTTTTTTTTAAAAATCATTTTCTTTTCTGAACCCATATGCTGTGTGGTGAGGCTGGGCCATGTATCTTTATAGCGGTCTCTCTATACATACATATACAATTACGTATGTGAGCTTTTAATTTATTATTACTTTTGTGGTATTGGGGATTGAACCTAGGATCTTCACCACAAGCTACATTTCCAGTCCTTTGTATTATCACTGGTTTTTTAGTCTTGAAATAATGTTTCAATAAATTGGCCAGGCTGGGCTGAAACTGGCAATCATCTTGCCTCAGCCTTCCAGAGTTTTCTGATTGTGTATGGGCCTCCATGCCTGGCATGTTTTTTTGTTTGTTCGGGTTTTTTTGTTTGTTTTTTGGTACCTGGAATTGAACCAGGATCGTGTGCTTGCCAGGCAGGCACTTATGCTGCTGAGATACACCCCCAGCCCACACCTGGCATGTTTTCTTTCTTTTTTTTTAGTACTGGGGATCGAACTCATGACCTCACACTTGCCAGGCAGGTGCTTACACCACTAAGCTAAATCCCCAGTCCCCTGGCATATGTTTTTTTTAAAAAAAAGTTTTCTAGAGTGTTAAATTATGCATTGTTCGGCATCTTGTTTTTCATAAGAATGGTTTAACACTCTTTCCAAAAAGAATATCCATTTTTAGTTCTTATTCAAGTGATCATTTCACCATATCGTTAGTAATTGTGTATTTTTATTTTTGCTAAATGTAAGTAATTTGTTTAAATTTGTTATCTTAGTTTTTCTTTTTATGGAATACTTCAAATACAGAGAAACATAAAAAGATAGGTTCTTCAGCTCAAGTTAAGCATCTGAAATGTTTAACTGTTATTTTAAAAATGTGAATACACTGGCAAGCAAGCGAAGTCATGAGTTCGATCCCTGGTACCAACCCCCCTCCCCCAAACCAAGTGTGAATACCACAGGAAGCACAGCATGTACGGGAAACAGCATTAGAAAGACTGACCTAGAGCTTTAGTCTTCCTTCAATAGTTAAATATGTAAACCCAGGGCTCAGTTTTTTCTTCTCTATAAAATTAGAGGGTATAAATAATGCTATTACTATCTTTTTAAAGCTCTACAAATATATGACTTGGTCTTAAACATTTCAAAACACAATGTTAAAACTCGTTTTCTGGGGCTGCTTAACGCTGAGTAAAGAACGATGTAACTTCACTTCCTAAAGCCTGTACTTTCCACCAGGAAAAATTATTTAGCTGTGTTCATTTATGTGCATCAAGCGCCTAGAACTGTGCCTAGCATGCTTGATATTTGTTGAGTGACTATTTGGAAAGTATAATAATCTGGAATGATTTTATTGTGGTCTAAGTCTCACCTTCCTTATGAGAAAAACGCTAGAAAACAGGCACCTCTTATATATCTATGAGGGAGTTACACGTGCCAGTAGCAGAAAGACTCTAATAGTGATTCTGTTCTCTGAACCTAATATCGAAGTCCTCATCCCCAACATCCAATGTGATTCAAACTCAAAAGAAGCGACAAAACTTGTAGCTATGTTCATTTACAGGCCTATAGAAGCCAGTTTACAACCTATTCTGCTCTGACTCTACATCCGGAGAAGACGAGGAGTTACAGCTCCTCCTCTTGAGAAACCAACAACTCGGAAAATACATGAATTAAAGACGCCAAAGGCACACAAACTGGCGGGGAAAGGGCACAGAGAGTAAACAGACTCTTTTATGCCCCAAACATTGGGAAAATCCCCTGTTGCTGGGAACTGCATCCTTACCTCCTTCTTTCTTTGGGCAGAGGCAGAGGAAACCTGGTAAACGAGCAGCAGCGCCACCGCCGCGGTCGCTGAGGCACACCAAAGCCACCTACCCGCTGCCATGTTCGCTCCTCTAGCTTCTCTAAGGTGAAACTTTCCTTCAGCAGCGTTCTAGGGTGGGGCGTGAGAACAGGCCGACCAGCCCCTTCACTTTCCTCATTGGTTTCTTTCGGCCCCAACATCGGTCCCCTCACATTACGTCACGACGCGCTACAGCCAGACGCCCGCTAAAGGACAGTTCGCTTCTAATTGGTTCTTGTTAACCAATAGAAAAAGGATAATCTGGAGGTTTTTCATTGGTCTGCTAAAAATAATGGACCGCCCATTTCTTTACAAATAAAGGTGTTTCTCTGCTCTTTAAACTCGCATGCGCAGTAGTGAATGGCTGCGAATGTTTTGGGGTTTGAAATGCATGGAGGTTAACAAAACTGAATCTTTCACCCAAGAATCTTTCTCCCAAAAGCTCATGTAGAAGTTTTTACAGCCATTTTTTGCCCCTTACGGTTCTGGGGATTGAATACAGGGCTTCTCACCCAGTCCCCATTTTAAAATTTTTTATTTCAAGACAGGTCTCACAAAATCGCTGAACTGAATTAATGCGTGGTTTTTCTGCCTCAGGCTTCCAGTGTGTTGAGATTACAGGCATGCACCTCCACGCTAGGATAACATCCACTTTATTAGTTTTTTGTTTTTTGTTTTTTTGTTTTGTTTTGTGCCTGGTATCAAACTCACGAACTTGCACTCACCAGGCAAGCGTTTGAGGAACTAAGCTAAATCCCCGGACCTTCATTTTTAAAAGATAAAGTCTCATTGTGTAGTCCAGGTTGGCCTCGATCTCATGGTCATCCTCCTGCTTCGGCCTCCCGAGTGCTGGGATTACAAGTGTGTACCATCATACCTGGTTTAAATCACATAATGTCCCGTCCCCCCAGCTGCAGGAGTCGTTTCTGGGTTATAGTCAACCATCAGGGTAATATAACTAGCTCTAAGAGAAGAGAGGTCCCTTGAAAGAGAAAGCTTCACAAAGATTGATTGGCTGACATCCAGCCTGACTGACAACCACTTCTCGACTTTCAATTGCTTCCTGCAATATTCAGTAAGAATGGAACCCAGACAAGTGAGAGGAATTTTGTCCCTCATTCTGCCTCCAGAGTACGACAAATCAAGATGAAATTGGAGCCTGCAGTGGTGGTGCACACCTCCAGCACTCGAGAGGCTGAGGCAGGAGAATTGCTGCAAGTTTGAGGCCAGCCTGAACTGCACACCAAGACCACCTCTGAAAAAAAAAATACAGCAAGATAGGAAAGCAAAAATATACTTAACAATGTCACTGAAGGAAAAGATTTTAAAAGCAAATGTGACCAACAAAGTGCAAAACATGTTCTGTTCCAGGAACGTCGAAAAAAACAAGACTCAATATTTTTAAAAAATTTCTTATACTCGGGCTTGGAAAAAAATAGGGCTTGGAAGGTAGCTCAGTGGTAGAGTGCTTCTGTACTTAGCATGTGTGAGGCCCTGGGTTCAATCCCCAGTACTTGAAAAAAAAAAGATTTTCTGTGGGGCTTTGTGGTCACATACCTATAATTCCAGCACTCTAGAAGACAGGAGGATCATATGTTCAGGCCTAGCCTGGGCAATTTGCCAGATTATTGAGACCCTGTCTCAAAAAAAAAAAAAAACAAAAAAACAGCTGAGGGTGTTGGAGACAAAACACAGGATGACCTGATATTTGACAGGAAGTTTCCAGCCTGCAGAGATGGATTTAAGAGGCTGTAGAATTTTCACCTTGCCTCTCTTCACTTTGGGGTCCTTTCCCCTCTTATGCATACACACACACACACACACACACACACACACACACACACAATCACTTTCACATAAAAGAAAATAAAAAGACACAGGAGTCAGCTTAAGCAAATCTTGCAGATGTCTGGGGTTAACCTTCATTAAAATAAATGATGACAATAGTGCATTATAACCTATCACATATGTGAATCCATGCTGATAATGAAAAAGTTAATAGAAGAAAATAAAATTCTTTCTTACCGTAAAACAACTACTATTATATACAGAAGAAATGATAAGAGTTAGAAAGCCACTTTTTAAAATGTTCACATCAATAATTGACTTATACAAAAAACACCAATGAATATATCTTAGTGGGTGAAAATTTGATAAAGGACAGAATGTGGGGTTAAAAGTGTGACTCAGGGGACTGGGGATTTAGCTCAGCGGCATAAGCACCTGCCTTGCAAGCAGGCAGTCGTGAGTTCGATCCCTGGTACCAATAAAAAGTTAAAAAAAAAAGTGTGACTCAGTGGTAGAGTGCTTGCCATAGCATGCATAAGGCTCTGGGTTCAATTTCAAGTATTGCAAAACAAAACAAGATAGTCACATAATCTGGATGTATTCTTTCAAGTCACTTATTTATTTGAAAGGAAAAAGCAGGGACTGGGGATTCAGCTCAGCAGCATAAGTGCCTACCTTTCAAGTGTGTGGTTGTGACTTCGATCCCCGGTACCGATAAAAAAGAAAAAGACAAAATAAAAAAATAAAGAAAAAAACAGTAACTTTATAGTGTAGAACTCAACAGTATTGGGCCAATAGTTAGACATTAGCAGGCCTGAGAGGCAAAGGGAGTCCAAATAGCATCCTTTTGCCAGTCATAGTTAAGTGCAGAAACAAAGACCCCTGTGTAAAATACATCTGTAATCTTTTATTGGGTCTCAAGCTCACAGACATAGGGTCCCTATTTCTAGAAGAAGGCATATGGGGGCTGGGGATTTAGCTCAGCGGCATAAGCGCCTGCCTTGCAAGCAGGTGGTCGTGAGTTCGATCCCTGGTACTGATAAAAATGAAAAAGACAAAAAAAAAAAAAAACACAAGAAGGCATATGGCATTCCTGGTTGCCATAACCTATGGCCACTGACACCAGAAAGAGGAACATTCTTTAATGATCCTTCTCTCTTGTGATGAGATCTGATTTAGATTAAAATTTATCTTTTGTAAATTTCTTTCCAAAATTTCTTACATGAATAAGGACCCTAAGGAAACACTGATCATCTGAAAAGAACAAAGAAGACATTTGACAACTCCAAAGTGACTTCTAAGAAAAATGTTGATATGCATCATAATCATCATAGCCCCTGAATCCCTGGAGTAACTTTTGCATGCACAAAACATTTTTTATTTTTTGTCTTTTTCTTTTTTTTTATCGGTACTGGGGATCGAACTCACAACTGCCTGCTTGCAAGGCAGGCACTTATGCCGATGAGCTAAATCCCCAGCTCCCATAAGACATTTTTTAAACTCCTGTTGGGTTCAGACGCCTATGTGGAAATGCACGATTTCTCTGAAGGGGTCTCTCTATATCTGCTTTACAATAAGCCTTTTTTATACTTCTGCACAGCTGCTTACATGTTCTTTGTTTGTCTTGCTGAGACAGGGTCTCACTATGTAGTTCAGGCTGGCCTTGAACTCACTTTGTAGTCAGGATGGTCTCAGACTTGCAGTTATCCTCCTGCATTAGTTTCCCAAGTGCTGGGATTACTATGCCTGGCTTGCTTACATGTCTTGACTAAGGCACAAAGGACCGTGGATCTGGGGGCAGGAGAGGATTCCTTGGAATATCAGGACCTTACTTCCTGGTGACAAGACGGCACTACTTTCATCAAATGATTAAAATTGGCATTACCAGTAATGATTTCACCCAACCTTACATACCTCTTGATAAAGTGCTCTGAGAAAACGTATGAGTCATGCAGCATTCCTGCCAGAAGTACATAAACTGAATCTAATCGTGAGGAAATATCATAGAATCACAAATCAAGGGAAACTTTACACAACAACTGCAGTGTGCTCTACAAAAATATTACAGTGCACAGACCTGTGGAGTCAGGCAATTACCAGTGCTGCCATTTATAACTACCTGATCTTGATTTAGATCTGATCTTGATCTGGCTCATTTAAGGATCCTACACTTCACATCCTTCATATGTAAAACTGAAAGCGTAGGACCAGGGATGTAGCTCAGTGGCAGAGGTGTTTGCCTGGTGTTATGAATCAAAAACTGGTCGTCAACTTAACGCCAGCAGAATTAAATCAGCATGGTGCTGAGTATAGATGTTCCATCTGAGGAAAGTTGCCAGCATAAATAGAGATGTGGAGAAGGAGAGGTTTGGGGCATTTTGGGTTCTTCTACATGTTGCTGTTTGAGTCGTTGGCTCTCCTGGAGGAGCTAATCATGACTAATTTATCCAGTGTGAGTTCGACCATTGTCATCAGAGGAGTTCTGGATCTTGTTGGTGAGAGTGGCTGTGGTTCACTTTGGAGAGCTCTGGTCCTTACATTGAGCATCGCATCCTGGCTCCAGAGGGAACGATATGTGCCTTTTAATCTCCAAGACAAACTCATCATGCTGGCTTCCTGGCATGTACTCAACTGTTCTTATCATCAGAGGAGCTCGGGATCTCCGTGTCACTCAGGATGGCTATCATGCTTTTCAGGAGAGCCATGGTCTTTACTATAAGCATGAATTTTTGGCTTCTGTGTAGAACCCTTAACCTACCAGCACAGCTCCTTCACCCTGCTCGCATAGACTTTCTAGCTTCCACCGCTGACCTTTGGGCTTTCTAAGCACAGATCCGTAAAAGAGACTGGTGTGAGTCCTTCTTGTGGCCTCTAGACTCTAGTTGGACTTGTGGGAGGTATTGTCATGGGCTCTAGACCTTCATCTGGACTCATGTAGGACATTGCTGAGAGATTCATGCCCTTGGCTGAATATTTCTATGGCTTTAGTGTTATGGATAGATTTCCTGCACTTTCTTATGTTTAACTCTGTATGTTCATCATAAGATAATATTAATTCTGTGTCCTGATTCTAATTGTTCTCCATACAACCCCTGACTACAACACCTGGCAAATGAAAGGTCCTGAGTTCGGTTTCTGACACCAAAACAAACTACCTAATTTTGGAGACATAGCTCAGAGTCATAGCATCTGTATGGCCAATGCAAGGTCCTGAGTTTTATTCTTGATACTAAAAAAACGAGAATGCAAAGCTTACTTGTGCTGAGAAAAAATAATGCTATAAAAGACAAAGAGTAAGGAACTAGGGGCTGGGGATTTAGCTCAGCAGCAAAAGCATCTGCCTGGCAAACATGAGGTCATGAGCTTGATCCCTGATACAAAAAGAAAGACTGAGGAACTATAAAATTTTGAGGAGACAGAAGATATGTGACAACCAAATTCAATGCAGAGTCTTCGATGGAGGGTTTTAGTTTATGTTTTCTTGAGACAGGGTCACCCCATGCAGTTCAGGCTGGTCTTGAACTCACTGAATAACCCAGCTGGACTCAAACTCACAGTAATCCTTCTGCTTCAGCATTTTAGGGGCTGGGATTACACCCAGCTATTTCGAATTGAATTCTGGATAGATATTTTGGAATAATTAGTGAAACTGGAATAAGATGTATTATATCAAAATTTTATTCTGAATTTTACACCTGGTCATATAAGACAGTACCCAGCCACGTGTAATGGCATACATTTTTAGTCCTAGCAGTTTGGTGGTGAGGCAGGAAGATTGGAGGCTTGAGTCCTGCCTGGGCTATTTCTTTATTTAGGATTTTGGAGATAGAGTCTCCTTGTGTAGTTCAGGCTAGTCTCACCACAATGCTCCTGCCTCAGCCTCCCAAATTCTGGGATTATAGGTGTATGCCACCATGCCTGACTTGCCTGGGAAATTTAGCATTACCTCATTTCAAAATTAATAATAATTAAAAGAGTTGGGGACATACCTTAGTGTGAAGGCCCTTGGTTCAATAATCAGTGTGGAGCAGTGGTGCGTGGGGATAGGGTGTCTTACTCTTAGGAGATGAACCCTGAAATATTAACAGGTAATGGTGAATGATGTGTGTAAATTATTGTCAAGTGACCCTACATCTCTGCACTGATGTCAATGCAGGGTTGTGAGTTGGAGGCCAGTCTTGGCTACATAGTGAGACCCTGTCAGAAACAAACAAATAAACCAAAAATAGAAAAGTAAAACCAATTGGTGCACCCAGGTAAGGGGTATACAAAACTGGGCATAATGGCACAAGCCTACAATCCCAGCATTTGGGAGGGTGAGGCAGAAGATTGACTCAAATTCCAGGGCAACCTGGGTTATATAGAGTCCAAAACCAGCCTGGACTACATAGCAAGGCCCTGTCTCAAAAAAAAGCATAACAAAACCTAAAATACTGAGCATACAAGAGTTTTGCTTGTTTGTTTTTTGAGACAAAGTACAGGCTGCCCTTGAACATACTGTGTAGCCCAGGCTGACCTCAAACTCACTGACACTCCTGTCTCAGCCTCCTGAGTGAGTGGTGGGAATACAAGCTTGCATCACCATGGTCAGTGTTCTTGCCTCAGGGTTCAGGGATTTAGCTCAGTAGCATAAGTTCCTAACAGCAAGTTTAAACCTTGTTCCAAAAAAAAGTTCTTGCCTCCCTGCCCTAATATTTATTTGTGAAACTATCCCAAAATGCAGAGAAATTGAAAGAGTTATACCACGAACACCCACCAAGGTTTCACAATCAGCAGGTCACTGAGTTTGCTTTATTACATATGTATCTTATATGTGAGATTTTAGGATTTTAAAAATTACTTTATTTGTGCTGAGGAATGATCCCACAGCCTCAAATATGTCAAGCATGGATTGCACCACTGTGTTATATCCGCACCCCTAGGAATACTTTTTAATTTTCTTACATCTTTTCTCTAAATTTCAGTTATTTTAAAGTTAAAAGTTAGGCAGATGTGCTGGGTGCACATCTGTATTCCCAGGACTTGGAAGGCTGAGACAGGACAATTGCCTCACTACATAATGAGTTCAAGGCCAGCCTGAACTACATAGCAACACCCTGTCTCAGAAAAAACAAAAACAAAAAAACCCCCAAAGAAACAAAGTTTAAAAAGGGACACAAACTTTGAAAAGTAAAAGACATTGGACGAACAAACAAAAACGAGCTAGTGTAGAGTTCTAAACCTCTTGAACTTCAATACCATTTTGAAACTGGTGCCTTAGGTTACCGGAGAACGATCAGTCTCTCCACACTCAGGAGAGCCCTAAACCTTGCTTCAAGGAGTTTGTTCATTCTTTATTGACTACAATCTACGACACTTATAAAGCTTGAGACTACATCTCCCAAAAGGCCTTTGTTTTCCCTCGTTGTAAAGAGAATTAGAATGTCTATAGGGTTTTTTTTTTTACAAATCTCGCGAGATCATATCAAATCTCATTAAGGAGCTCTACAGGAAGCCATTTTGTTTTTCAGGGCTCTTTGCAAGGGTATCGCGAAGTAGTTTGCAGCAAAGCAGCAGCTGCAGTAACCGCTGTTTCATCTTGAGCTCCACGATGTTTCCCTTGGCCAAAAACGCATTAAGTCGTCTTCCAGGTGAGCAAAAAATTGGGGTCAATTATAAATCTTGTACCCCCCACCCCGTTGTCTCTCGTGCCCTTTATCCCCGAAGGACATCCTTATTCTAGATACCTGATGTCCTACACCGTCCTACATCCTTGGGAAAATTTCCTTAGCATTGTCTTTCTCTCCCAGTGTTTTTGTTTCGTTTCCCAGCACTCTTTCTGCTGTCGTAGTCATCCATTCAGTGATAACCTAAACGGTAGCCTTGCAGTTTTGACGTTATTTGTAGGTTGTTAACTGAATATTATCTGGCCTGAAAGCAGTCGTGGTCATTTTAAAAAATCTTATTTGCAAGTTAGGCAGGTGCAGGGAAATTTGAGTCCTGCTTTATATATTGAGAAAAATTAAGTTCCTTACTTGATTTGTACTGAAGGTGACCTTGAATAACGTGAGTGAAGGTGATTTTGAGCAATTATCATTGTACCTGTATTATTTTCACTTACAGAGATATTAGAGATATTTACTAGATTGTGTTCTAGACACTCAATTTATTTTTTGCATTTTGAAAATAAAAACCGTCTGGTTTTTCTTATGCCAAAAGCCATGTTTCAGATTTAATCTCTCTGAACCTGTTTCCTCCTTTATAAAATAAGGGGTTAATAAGTAATATCTCTGCCGGTACACTCCTGGAGGCTGAGAGTGAAGGATCACCATAAGTTTGAGGCCAGCCTGGGCCACATAGTGAACCCAAGGCCAGCCTAAACTACACAGCGAGACCCTGTCTAAAAAAAATAGAGGGTTGGTGAGTATTATATGAGACTATCAATGTGTAATTACTTTTTTTAAAAAATAGAGGAGAGGTCTAAGGAAATCCACATGGGTAATCTGAAATTTCAACCCAGAATTTCTTGGTAATCTTAACTTCTTTTCCCTTTAAGCAAGTAGTATCTTCTTGTACCTTAGGGAAAGATTTTTTTTGCTTTATTATTTTTTTCCCAGTGTGGGATTTACATGCATCTTTGCTTTCTATTTCTTTTTTTCTCTTCCCTACATCCCTCCTTCTTTCTTTCCTTGCTTTTTTCTGAGACAGGGTCTCCATATGTACTTCAGGCTGGTCTTCAACTCCCTGTATTTGTTTTTTGAGATAGGGTCTGCTACATAGTTACAGGCTGGCCTTGAATTAGTTTATGTAGCCCAGGCTGGCCTCAACTCATGGCAATCCTCTAGCCTCAGCTTCTGAAGTGCTGGGATTATAGTTCCTTCTTTTCTTCATTGGCATTGGCGATAGAACTCAGGGTGTTCGAACTGAGCTACATCCCCAACCCTGTGCATTTTTTACTTTTGAGACAGTATTTCGCTAGGCTTCCCTGGCTGGGTTCAAATTTAATAATCCTCCTGACTTTGCCTCCCAGAATCCTGGAATTACAGGTGTGTACCATCATGCCTAGTTCACATGGTCAGTTTTTTAGAACTGTTCCAGAGCAGAATACATTGTGAAATGTTTGTGAATTTGTTCATCCTGGGTTTCACTAGGTGAAAATAATATAAGGCAGTTAGGAAAACCAGTAATGGTCAGTAATGACCATGAAATAACCCATTGTACCACATAAACACCACTTTGTTCTTAAGTGCTAGTGAATGGAAAAGGTTGCCTTCTTAAAACATGCTTTCTGTAAGATCAGTCAGGCTACCTACCTACCTAACTTTTGGGGCTCTTTAAAATAATAAGGACCTGCTACTTTAATTGCTGAGGAAGGAAAAAAGATTTCTGGAAATACCCTTTGTACTAGAGTACTAGTAAAAACTTGTCTTGCTCAAAAACCTTTACCATCTTATGTTAACTTTTAAAGAAAAGTAGCTGTCTGTGATCCTTTCTAGTTTAATTCTCTATTAACTTCTTATACTCTTTGTCTTTCAGCCAAACTTAGTTGGTATTTCAGTACACTGGATTTTTATGTCTATCTGTTTTCACATTTTCCTTTTCCACATCTGTAGAACCAAATCCTATCTGCCATTTAAGTCCTAAGCTAGGGCTGGAGATGTTGCTTACCAGCGCAGCGCCTGCCTGGCAACCCTAAGTTCCAGTTCTGATACAAAAAAAAAAAAAAAAAAAAAAAAAAAAATCCCAAACCAAAAAACCCAAAATTAAATTAAATGCTAAACTATTCTACTTCTATGTACTATAAGTGATTTATGTTTTCCTACGTCCTCTTCTAGACTGAGAATAATCTGATAACAAAGTGTGTCTTAAAAGTTTTTGTGCACATGTGCATGTGTGCATGTTTGATACAGGGTTTTGGTATGCCCTGGCTGGCCTTGAACTCAAGGCAATCCTTCTGCTTCAGCCTCCTGAGTGCTGGGAATACATGCCTGCTTTAAACTTTTTTTTTTTTTTTTTTCACGAGACCGGGTCATGCAATGGTGCGGGATGACCTTAATGTCTTATGTGGCCCCAGGTGGCTTTGAATTTTTTTTTGTTTGAGAAAAGGTTTCACTGTGCAGTTCATGCTGGCCTTAAACTTACTTTGTAACCCAGGCTGGCCTGGAACTCAGTGATCCTCTTGCCTTACCCTGAGTGCTGGGATTACAAATGTGTCTCATCACACCCCGAGTGTCTTTGAAATTTTAGTGTTTGTGTATACTCTGTTTTTTATAGCATGATGCCTTACTCATTAGTAATTTTTTAAGTAATTATTTTTAGTAACTTTTTAGTAATTATTAGTAAATTTAATAGTTATTTTTCAGATTGCCCTAGTTTTAGAGGGGTTTTTTTGGCTGAAATATTAACACCATAAACAGTTGCTTTAATTTGAAGTTCATTTGCCGTTTTTTTCATTTTCTTTAGTATAGAGGATTGAGCCCTCCCATGCTAGGGAAGTCTGCTACTCTTGAGTTAAATCTCCAACTGTGGGCTTTTTTTCCTCTTTTCTCTTTTTGAGATAGTGTCTCGCTATGCAGTTTATGCTGGCCTTGAGCAACTCACTTTGTCCAGCCTGGTCTCAAACTAGCAGGATCCTTGTGTTAGCCTTCCGTGTGCTGGGATTAATAGTGTGTGCCCCCACACCTAACTGTGGTTTTATTTTTTTGTTTTGAGACAGAGTCTGAATTGATAGGTAACCCAGGCTGGGTCTAAATTTGAGATTCTCCTCCCTTGGTCTTTCAGTGCTGGGATTACCTTGCTTCTGCCTCCATGCCTGGCAATTTATCTTATTTTTGATGTATTTCAGAGTATGTTACTTTGTGTTTAGCTGCAATGTAACATTTTATTCAACTGTGCAATACTATACAGTTAACTTCCTTGGCGCTCTTATTGGCATTGTCAGTCACATATATTCTCTTTTCCTGATAATTGATACATTTCTAACTTCTTTTTTCTTTAAGTTGGAAGCATTCAACAAATGGTGGCAAGGCAGAGCCACCAGAAACGTACACCTGATTTCCATGACAAGTATGGTAATGCTGTATTAGTTGGTGGAGCCACATTCTGTATTGCTATATGGACATATGTAAGTATTATGATTTTTTTTTCTTAACAGTGTTGGGGATTTAACCAATGACCTCACATATACTAGATATGTGAGCTACATACTCTGCCTCAATAATTTTATTTAAGATATTTTTCATTCTTATTCTGTGTATTTTAAGTGTTTTACCACAAAAGGATACATTTCTAGTTAGAAGGGACTTAGAAGATTATTTAATAACCCATTCAGTGGAAATGTTTATCATTGTTCATCTATCTTTTTTTTTTTTTTTTTTTTTGCCTTTTTCATTTTTATCGGTATCGGGGATCGAACTCACGACCGCCTGCTTGCAAAAGGCAGATACTTATGCCCCTGAGCTAAATCCCCAGTCCCCTGTTCATCTATCTTTTTAAAAACATTTTATTAGTATATTATGTTTGTAGTACATGATTACATTCATTGTGGGGAGTTGGTACATGTATATAACATACCTTAATTCTTTTTTACATCCCCTTTACCTCTCCTCCATCTTGTGTTGTTAATATTTTATATAACAGATTGTTTACTGGAGCACAAGATAGCTCTTTCCATATTGTGTAGAAGATCAAAGAATTTTTTGGAGGGAGTACTGGGAATCGAGTTCAGGACCTGGCGCTTACCAGGCAGGCATTGCATCACTGAGCTATATTCCCAGCCTGATTAAAGGATCTTATGTTGTGGAAAACCACACTTCGTATTTTACTCATCATTCAATTGCAATACAAATAACTTTTTTTGAGACAAGGTTTTACTACATTAGTGTAGTGACCTTGAACTTGCTTTGGTAGCCCAGATTTTTTTTTGTTTTTTTTTTTTTTTTGAGACAGCACCTTGATATGCGGTTCAGGCTGACCTTGGGCTCCCTTTGTAACCAGGCTGGTCTTGAACTTGCAACCATCCGCCTGCTTCAGCCTCCTAAATGCTGGGATTACTGGCATGTGCCACCACACTTGGCTCCCAGACTGGTTTTGAACTCACAGTGATCCTCTTGCCTCATCCTGCCATGTGTTGAGATTATAGACATGGGCTAACACACCTACTGCAATATAGATAGTTGTGATCATCACATTTCTTTATGACAGCCATCAGATATTAGAAAATTGCTATCATGGGCTAGAGATATAACTTAGTTGTTAAGTGTGTACTTAGCATGCATGAGGCCCTGGGTTCAACCCCAGCATCAAAATGAAAATGAAACAAAACATCTTTAGATCTGTTGGTTGTTTTTTATTCTATAGTTGCTAGGAGTTTACATTTTTGGGTCATTCTATATACACTTCAGTGATCAGATTTTTCTTGTAAATTTTGTGGTACAAGGGATGCAAAGTAACTTAGATTCCTTATTTAAGCTTTTTGTATCTTACGCCAAACTATTACTGGTCACATTATTTACTGGTTAAAGATGGTCTTGAAATTCTAATAAATATTTAAGTTGGTTTTAAAAGATACAATTCAACCCTTGCCTTAAACAAAGAAGATGAACTAGGTATGGGGACAGATGTATATAATCTCAGCACTTGGGAAGCTGTGGCAGGAGGATGATCCTGAGTTCAGGGTAAGCCTGCAATAGGTTTTTAAAATTTTTTTGGTGTGGGGAATTGAACTCAGGGCCTTGCACTTGCCAGGCAGGCTCTGAGCTGCTGAGCTATATCCTCGGCCCTGAAATATGTCTTGAGACTCTCAAAAAACCAAAATCAGGTGCAGTACTTTTAGTGGTAAGGATTGAATCCAGGGCCTTTTGTATGCTAATAAACTACTGTATCACTGACATATACACACAGCCTTGGAATCAGATATGCTATTAAAATAAATGTGAAAAACCTGGGTGTGATGGCACACGCTTGTTTTCCCAGCACTTGGAAGGCTGAGGCAGGAGGATCATTGTGAGTTTGTGATCACCCTGGGCTACAAAGTGAGCTCAAGGGTAGCCTGAACTTCATAGTGAGATCCTACCTCAAATAAATAAATACATACATACATAAATACATACATACATATTTAACTAGAGGGAGATACAGATATCTAATGAATGTGTGATAAGAGGAGCTTTTGGAGGGGAAATATACTCTTTAATGATGAAGGAGTATAGTATAAAGAAATGCTCTTTGGCTGTTATTTAGGCAATTCTGATAAAAATTTCCTTAGTCACAGTAGGTGCATCTAAGTGCTTAATTGCCACTTGTGGCTAGCGACTACTGTTTTGTACAGTGCACATGTAGAACATGCCTTTCAAGAAGTTCTTTTGAACAGCACTGCTCTGGAGAAATAGGATAACAATTAGGTTTGACTTGGCATGGAGGGTTCTGTATCCAGGTGAGTATTTAAACTGAGAAACACAATATTTTTGTCATTTTCAAGAAATAAGCTATAAGGGGGAGTGGACTTTGGTTTAAACATGTGTAACTGACATAATTTTAATTCTTACAGACAGCAACACAAATTGGAATAGAATGGAACCTTTCCCCTGTTGGCAGAGTCACCCCAAAGGAATGGAAAGATCAGTAATCATGCCCGCTGATATAATACAGCTAAATTGCTTCAATATCAAATCACAACTGATGTCAAGTAAAAGCAGTGTATGTCCATTAAAATGTGTATTGAAGAAATAAAGTACAATTGAAACCTTTATTGTAGGCCTTGTTTCTTTTGTAAAAGAAGTTAAATTTGATTGCTTTTCATTTAACCTTTGTGTTAATATCAAAGTAAAAATGCTGTACAGCTTTTGAAAAGAACTCTATGAAGTAATATGAAATGGAAATTTGGTTATCATTGGGAAGTCAACTCTATAGTAGTCTGAAATTACAGCTAATGAATAACTTACCACAAAACTATTTAGGTCATCTTTGAGCAAAAAATTGGCTCAAATATTGGTTATGCCTGCTGTTTTCTACTTCTCATGTTTATATTTGGAATTGGCATTATTAACTGCTTTTCAATCTTTTTGGCAGAGTGGTTAGGGTCTTACTATATAGTTCAGGCTGGCCTTGAACTCATTTTGTATATAGCTCAGTCTGGCCTCGAATTCATGGCAGTTACTTTTGCTTCAGCCTGTCAAGTGCCAGGATTACAGGTGTTGTGTTACCACACCAGGCTTCTTTTCACACTTGCTTAGAGAATTTAGGATGTTGCCAGACCTAAAGAACAGTGGTCCCATAAAGTGAACCAGGTTGTCTGAAAATTAGCTCTTTGGCTCCTTCAGGATATTCATCTTAATTAGATGTTTTCATTTTGCAGCACATTTATTTGAGATATTTGTAATGATATTAAAAAGATTCACCTAATACAGTCTTGTTATTTAATCATAGATATAAAAATATTAGATTTTCTTTGTTAATGGAGTACAAAACGTACTTTGCAGTTAGTATGTCTTAGAGCAGTGGTGGTGAACCTATGGCATATGTGCTGCAGCAGGTCTAAAACATTCGCCATCACTGTCTTACAGTCTTCTCAAATGTACCAAAGTCACACCAGGTATGGTGGTGCACAGAAGAATTGCTGTGAGTTTGAAGCCAACCTCAACTATATAGTGAGACTTTGTCTTAAAAACAAAAACCAGGGGCTGGGGATTTAGCTCAGTGGCATAATCTCTTGCCAGGCAAGCACCAAGTCATGAGTTCGATCGATGGCCCCGCAAAAAAAAAAAAAAAAAAAAAAAAAAAAAAAAAAAAAGCACCAAAGTCAGTGACTACATGATTTTAATAGAAATAACAATGTCATTGCAAAATATGCAGGTAGCAGGATTAATAGCTATAGTAGTACCATTTTTGATACAAATTGAATACATAAAAGTCTTATCTGTGGAAATATTCTTCATATTTTTTTCATTTTAAGTCAAATAAAACCTAACTACAGAACAATAAAGCCAATCAAAACAAAGCATTGAAAGTAGTACATAACCTCAAAACAGGACAATAGATCAACAATGGCTACCATAATATATCTTCACAATAGTTGTCCATTTCCTCAGACATAGTAAAATTGAATAAAACAAAACCAAAACAGCACTGAGTAAAAACAGAACAATATTAGATTTCAGAAACAGGACATAAGGAAATCCCCCACATTTGCCACTGTCATCCTCCTAATAGATGTTTAGACTACCAGCCTTAGTCCTGCAAAATCATTCAATACAAGCATTTAGCTGTTTTTGTACCTCAGTCCTCCAAACCAGGCAGTTGCTTACAGGTTTGTGTGTGTGTTGATTCTCAGCCCCTGTATGCATGTGTGTGTCTATGTCTTGATTCTCACTCAGCCCGTGTGTGTGTGTGTGTGTGTGTGTGTGTGTGTGTGTGTGTGTGTCTTGATTCTCCGCCCATGTGCCAGTCAGCTCTCGGGAAAGGCAATTTGGTTTCTCTCTTCCTGGGCCCTGCCTGTTTTGCACAGCTTACCGGAAGATCAAACTAGCTTCTTAATGTGTTCCAGACCTGACCTGGCCTCTGTTGTCTGATGAGAACAGTGAACTGGCTTCTCTTTTTCTGGGTCCTGTATGGTCTGCCTGTTCATAATAAGACTGAAATGTTCAAATGCATGTATAATGTGAGATGGGATTAAGAGAGATAAACATTTTTAAGAAAGCCTCAACCTATTAGATTAAAATAATACCTTTTTATCTCTGAGTTCTCCCATATCTTATGACTAGAAGCAATGATCAGTATTTGTACCATTTCTCTTATGTGGTATTTGTCAACTATATGTGTGACATTATAGAATGTTACCTGTTCATTTGCCAGCAAAAATATGTTGCTTTGTGTGATAAAAATTGGTTGTAGTCAGTACTCATGAAAAACTTTTTGTTTTTTCAGTGCCTAAACTGACTTCAGGTCTTTGCCCATGTTAGGCAAGTGCTTGATTGGCAAGCAACACCCTCATCCCTAAACAAACTTCTAAACTTAATCTTTGGCCACTGTGGCTTTTCTTCACAGCCTGCCCTGCTTTCTCCAGGGTGTTCTTTTATATTGCTTTTTCCTTTTTTCCTCAGCCCAAGCTCTCTCTGCAGAGTCACTTTTCTTTGTCACTCTTCACTTTTACTTTTTCAAATAAAAAAAGCAAAAACAATTTTATGGCGGGAATGCAGGTCAGTGGTAGAGCACTTACCTAGCATGTGTGAAACTCTAGTTTTAATCCTTAGTACTGGGAGAAAAAAAAACCCATAAATCTTAATTTGGTACTTAATTTTGTCCTGATGTGTAATTCTGAAATTACCATGATTAGAAATGAAGCAGTAGTTTAAACATTTTGAGCCATCACAACATTTTAATCTTGCAGCTTTCCAAGTGCATTGAAGCAAGAAAGTTCTAGTCTTTTGTAGAGATTTGCACTCAGTTTTCCCTGTAATACACAACTGCCATAGTTTTAAATAAAACTTAGAGTTAAACCAGACATGGTGGTGCATGCCTGTAATCCCAGCACTCTGGAGGCAGGGGGATTGTTGGAAGTTTGAGACCGATCTGGACTACAAAGTGAGCTGAAGGGCAGCTGAACTGTATAGCGAGACCCTGTCTCAAAAAGTCCAAAAAACCCAACCAACGAATCCCCCCAAAACTAAAACCAAAACCAAAACCAAAAAGACAAACCCTAGAGTCTGGAGGTTATCAAATTAGTTTCCCTATTTTCAAGTATCTATGTTTGAAGAATTTAGATAAGTGGGTCTGGGATTTAGTTCAGTGGCATAAATGCCTGCCTGGCGTGTGTGAGGTCATGAGTTTGAATACCTGTACCTGCCAAAGAAAGTATTTAGATAAGTGATTCACCTTAGAAATATTGCTAATCTTTTAAACACTATTGGAGGACTATATTTTTTAGTTGAGGTGAACATCAGGAAGACTTTAACTCTTACCCTAAAACAGTATTGGTAGGCTCTGTGATCTGTTACTATAAGTTCACTGAACTCACAATGAGATGTATAGTAGTTGAAGAGGCACAGATGTTGAGTTCCTTACCCTGGTGACTGTCATGGGTGATATCAGTACCACCTCATAAGCATTTTGACGATGCTTACCTGCTCAACTCCCAGCAAATTTGTTTACCATTGTAGGCGTATCCCTCTATTTGAAAGCTCAATCAATACAGTGATTGTGAAAATATGTTAGTATGTTTCTGCATTGACAAGGAGGATTAAGGATGAAGCATTTAAAGATAGAAGGTGTTATACAATGAGGCAAAGGCTGAGTGACTAAATGTGTGTTTATAGGGTGTGTTGTAGCTCATGTTAATAAACAACATTTTAAAAAATCTTTAGATGTTTTTGTGGTACTGGGGTGTTGAACAGGGGCTTTCACACTGAAATGCAGCCCAGCCCTTATTTTGAAATAGTCTTGCTAAATTGCTCAGGTTGGGCTCAAACTTGGAATCTTGCTGCTTCAGACTCCCAGAATGCTAAGATTGCTGGTGTGTGCCACCAAGCCCCAGTTTATATTTTGCTTCTAATAAATCTATATTCCTGGCATCACTGAGTTTCTTTAAAAGCTTAAATAGTGTTAATAATTAGCTACAGTCTAACTTGCTAATACCGTATTTGGGAGTCCATTTAATTTCTTTTTTATCCATTTAATTTCATATGATGTGATTTTATTAATTTATTGATGTGGTGCTTTGTTTTTCTTTTGGTAGCAGGAATTGGAATCAGGACTTCATGCTGGCTAGGCAGGCACTTGTGCCACTGAGCTATATCCCTAGCCTGCTGTGGTGCTCTTACATCCCTGCCCCATTGTATGTAATGTTTAAGAATTTAAATTTTGGCCTGAATTTATGTCTTATGCATATTGATTGAAGTTGTGCATATTGATTAACAACTACAATTTAATGCCTTAGAAGATAGGGAGTTCTGAGACTGATATTTTTATTTCTGTGTGTAGGTTTAGGGGGAGGAGAGAATAATTTTTTTCTGAAATAATTGTAGGCCTAAAATTTAGGTCTGTGGATTGGATTGGACTCACAACCTGGTACCTGGCGGGCAGGCACTTATGCTGCTGAGCTAAATCCCCATCCCCATTTTTTTTTTTTTGAGACGGGGGAGTGTTAGATAGTCCAGGCTGATTTTGACCTCTTGATCTTCCTGCCTCATCCTCAAGAGTGTTGAGATTACAGGCTTGCACCGCCATGCCTAGGTGATTTGTGGGTAATTTTAAATGTTGTCTATCAAGGTGTAATGGGAATTTTATGACTGGTAGGATGGAAATTGTTTAACTCTTAAAAATATTTATTGTGTTGCATACATGAAGTCTTTTACAAATACTTAATATTTGTACTTTGCATACTAATTGAATCTATATTTATTCTTTGTACTTTGCATACTAATTGAATCTATATTTATTCTTTTTTTCTCTTTTTGATCTTTTTGAGATAGGATCTCACTATGCAGTTCAGGCTGGCTTTAACCTCACTTTGTAGTCTAGGCTGTTCTCGAACTCACAAGGGAGGTTGAGTGCTGGGATTACAGGTGTGCACCACCGCACCCGGTTTATATTATACTTTGATTATTATTATTATCATTATTATTTTGAGACAAGGTCTTGCTATGTAGTTTAGACTGGCCCTGAACTCAGTATGTAGTCTAGGATGGCCTTGAACTAGCTTTAATTCTGTTGCCTCAGTCTTGAGTGCTGGAATTACCAACATGTGCCACCCACCACACCTGGCCTATTTTTAAAAATTCTACATTATTAAACTTGACATTTCTCTATGGAAACTGGTTTAAGTTTTTCCAGTTGAAAAGCATAAGTAGCCCTGTGATTACTTTTCTCTAATATAACAGCTATTTATCCTGAAGAAGAAAAGAAAGGCTTTGTCTTGCTTGGGAATAAGTACAATGGACTCTTTCCTTCTTTTACAGTTACTGCTCAGAATTTAAAAAAATCAGCCTACACAGTGGTGCACTCTTGTGATCCCATTACTTAGGAGATTAAGGAAATCTGAGTCCTGCCTGGCCAAATTAGTGAGACCTTGTTTCAAAATAAAAATTAAGGGGCTGAGGATTTAGCACAGTGGCATAAGTGCCTGCCTTGCAAGCAGGCAGTCATGAGTTCGATCCCTGGTACTGATAAAAAGGAAAAAAAACAACCAAAATAAAAATTAAAATCTGTTTCGAGGCCAGTGTGGGATACATAGTGAATTCAAGGCCAGGTGTCAAACCCCCCCCCAACAATAACCCCACCCCATTAAAAGTCAGGAGTGGTGGCATGTGCCTCTAATCTCAATATTCTGGGAGACTGAGGCAAGAGGACTGCAAATTAGAGCCCAGTGTGCTCAATTTAGTAATTTAGCGAGACTCTTACACAAAATAAAAAGGGCTAGGGGCATAGTGCAAAGGCCCTTTATTCAGTCCCAGAACTGGGGGAAGGTAGGTGGGTTTGATCCTAAATACTACAAAATTATTTTTAAAAATTTAGGATTTTGTTGCTTTTTTTTGAAACAGGTTCTCACTATGTAGTGGCTGGCCTGTATTCAGTATACTGGAATTACAGGCCTGTGCCACTGTGCTGCCCCACCCTTGTTGGTTTTTAAAATGTCAAATTAGAAAACAAGAATAAAATAATGTTTTTAGATGTTTTCTGTAACATTTATGTATTATATTGTTGGATTTTATGTATCTCATTTCCATATGAACTCATGGTGATAGATCCCCCCCCCCCCCCGTACTGGGATTGAATTTAGGGTTTTCAGAGATAGACGGATGGTCCTTTTAAATGTTTGGAACAGCATCTCATTAATTTTCTCAGGCTGGGCTTGAATTTGTGATTCTCCTGCTACCTAGAGTGTTGGGATTAAACCACTACAACTAGCCGGATAGATACTTTTAATATTTTTTTGCATCCTTGGAGCCTTTCAAGTGTTTAAATGTTAGACCAATGAATAACTAAATGGGGAAGTGATTCAGAGAGAGGAACGGTGATAGTGTAGTGACATCCTTGTCCATTCCCATAAAGATTATGAATTTTTAAACACTTTTTTGCCCATGATACAATTTTTCATTGGAAGGATGAGGGCACGTTTATGGTTTTGACTTTTACATCTGGAGTTAGGCTATCAGGAAACACAAGCAAATTAACACATTTTGACCTGTAAAGCGATCCATGCTAATCTAGCTCACGTAGGGCAAGGATGAAATGCGCAGAAAATATTTACAAGTTCTTATGATGCCTCATGGTCTGAGGTTAGAAAATCACAGGTGACCAAAGCACTGTTTGGGTAGGGTTTTTGTGTGTGTTTTCTTTAGTTTGTTTTTGGCATGGGAATTCGGTGACTTCCAACGCCCACAGTGAGCTCATTGCGAAACTGTGTGTCTGCCTCGGGGCAGCAGGGGGCGGGAGAAGCTTGACTCCAGGCCCCGCGCTCCCTTTCACGTGATGCATGGCTCTCTTTACACTAGAGCTCCTGCTTCCGGGCCGGGCATCACCCGGAAGTGGGAGCAGTCCAGGGAGGGCGGGGTGAAGGCTGTTGGCCGCCCAGGCTGGGGTGGGAAGAGAAGCAGAGGGAGGAGTTGCTGTCGCCGTCGCCACTGCCGCCAGCGCAGCCGCCACAGCCGCCACAGCCGCCGCGGCTACGGTGATTTCTAAAGTGTGTGAGCTTGGAAGCTTCGTGGGTAAATTTATCATTGCCACCCTCTGCGTCGCTCCGGAGGTTTAACCATATGACCAGAAAGACCAGGTAAATGCTACTTCGGCTTCCTGTTGTCCCCTTCCATGGGAGAACCGGTTTTGTGTTGTCAGTCTGTACTACCAAGTGTGGGGAGAAGGTCGTGTTAATCTGGGGCAATCTCCAAACTCGTTCTTCACGACTCAGATATTTACCACACTTACTTTTTACCTTCTCAAATGGAGAAGTGGAGAGATTAGGTCCTGACGTAGGTCGCTTTCTTGTACAGTTCTAGGGCGAGTATACAGATCTGTCATGGCCTATGTTAATTAATTGAGGGAACAAAAAGGTCTCTACACAGTGCTAGAAGTCACGTGGACTAGGGTCCTTGCTTAGTGACCTCTGTTTATACTTGGGAAACCAAGGTTACTAAGATCACTATTGCTGATAAAATAATAATTTTAAAAAGGCATTTGTCTTCTTGTCTTTTTCTCAGAGCATAAACTAAATTGAAAGAACACTCTTGTTTCCACATCGTTTTGTTCATTGTGCCCCCTTTTCATTTACTCTGCATCCTTGTTCCACCTTGTGACCTCTTTCTTGTGCTTGGGATATAATCAAGGACTTCAAGCATGTTAGGTAGCATTTTATTTTTGACACATTGTAGACGCTGAGGTTAAACACCAATAACACTGTAAGGTTTTACAAATACAATATTTTTCCAGGATCTAAACTGTGTTTTCGTAATACCCTCTTCATCTACAGTAATACGGCTTTGTATTGAGCCAATGTGTCAGAACGTCAATGTAGGTGATACTGAGGCATAGGAAATGGGAGGAGGACACACAGCACAAGACTTGTAGTACAGATTCTGGCTTCAAAAGAGCAATTAAGTCAGTTGAATTTAGCTATGAAGACAGTGAGTCTAGCAGCTCCACTAATTGAATTATCAGGTTGTTTATCTCATCTTTTTTATTAATTAAGTTTATTGGTACATTTTTGGTATACATAATGATCACATTCATCATAGGGACTTTTTACCTGTACATGATATAACTTGATTCTTTTTTCCCCTTTCCTTCAACCTATCTCATCCTTTTTTGAAGTTTTTCTTTTGTTCTTTAGTTTTTTGAAAGAGGTTCTTGCTATTTAGCCCAGAGTGGCCTCAAATTCTTTGGGAATCTTCCTGTGTCCACTTCCCCTGTGTTGGGGTCATAGGTGTGCACTACCACACCTGCCTTTGAAAGGTTGTTTATTTTTTGAGACAGAGTTGCTGTGTAGTTCAGACTGGCCTTGAACACAGTGATCATCCTGCCTCAGCCTCCTGAGTGCTGGGATTATGGAAATATGCCATCACACCTGGTTTAAAGGTTATTTTGAACTGAGATTTCATTTTTTTCTTTTTTTCTTTTCTTTTTTAAAACTTGATGGTCTGATAATGTAGTAGGAAAAAGAGATATGATCACCGAGTCATTTTTTATCCCAGTTAACTATTAGAAATAGGAATCATGAGAACACAGGGAAGGGAACATTAAAGATGGGTCTTCAGAAATGAATGGAATTTAACTTTGCAGGAATGAAGGAAGAAGAGGACAGTCCAGGTAAAAATAATGAGAACAAAGACCGGGGCAGCTGCAAAGATTGGAAGACATCCAATAATATGTCAACATCTTTCAAGATGTCAATGGTTAAAAGAAAAAAATTAATCTGGTCATGATGGTGCTCACTTGTAATGCCAGCACTTGAGAGGCTGAGGCAGGAGGATCCTTGCAAGTTTGAGACCAGCCTGGACTACAAAGTGAACTCAAGGCCAGCCTGAATTGCATAGTGAGACTCTGTCTGTAAAAGACCAAAAAAGAAAAGAAAAAAAAAGAAAAAAAAAAAAGAAAAAAATTAGAATACAGGGCGGGGTAGCTCACTGGTAGTACACTTGTGTAGAATGAGCGTGGCTTTGGGTTTGATCTTCAGTGCCACAAAAATATTGCAAAACTGGTTATTTCACAGCCAACTAATTCAGCTATTGAAAAGCCTATAAACTATATAGAAAACATGGAAATGACAAATACAGTGTTAATATATGAGGTTTAATTCTGAGCTAGAATTTAAAAGAGCCAGGCTTACTGGTGTCTGTAGTTCTAGGGGCTAGGAGGCTGAGGCAGGAAGATGTCCTGAGTCCAACAATTTGAGGCTAGCCTGGGTAACATAGCAAGACCTTGGGGGTGGGCAAAGGCAGAGATAGAGATAGAGAGAGGGAGAGAAAGAGAAAGAGAGATATTGAACCCACATATTTTCTGTCCTTATTTTTTGCTGTGCTTAGCTTCACATCCCTTCATTCTGATTTGACTGTTGTGCCTTTTATTTGGAATGGTTTGTGGGGTACTGGAGATTGAGTGTAAGGCCCAGCACATGCTAGACAAACACTTCACCACTGAGCTACCATCTCTAGCTTATTTGTTTATTTAGTGATAAGTAATAAGATACATTTTGTAGTGCAGGCTGATCTAGAACTCACTGTGTAGTCCAGGATGGCCTCAAATTTAGTGATCCTCCTGCCTCAGCCTCCTAAATGCTGGGATTATGGGTGTGAGACACCACATCTGGCCTCTGCCTAAATTTCTCTTGAGTCCATTTTCTGTAGAACCATTCGCCCCAATCTTTCATGTCCAGCAATAGAGATCTCCTTAAATGAGCACTTCTTGTCCATGTAGCATGCTCCTAGTACATTGATGAAACAGCTGTCAGTGATTTCATCCCTTGACATCTTCACCCATGTAATGACCTCTTGCAGGCTAGGGTTCACGGAGTAGTTTCATCATTAAATCAAGTGTTAATTGAAGACTTAAGAGACAGGAGTAGCAACAAAAATGATGACAGTTAAGAATGATGGCCCACATAAAAGCGATGAAAAATTGCAAGCACCAAATTCAGAAAATATTGCTTTGTTTCACATGAGTGCATTAAGTACATCTGTTACAACACATGATATATTGAATTATGAAGATTCATGTTGGACACAATCATGTTTACATAGGCATGTATCTCTTGTCCCAAGGTGCTGCTTGGGTATTTCTAAGTACTTAATTTATGTTATCATTTAAGTATTAATGTTAATATTCACTTGTATTCAATTATATATTAATATTTTATAATTCAATATTCCAGCCCTGTGTTGCAATGGATGTGCTAAGTGTGTCCCTCTGATTGATTATCTTAACTGGGACTTACTTTTCGAATAAGACATATATTATGAGCATCCTGAAAAATCATGCTAGGTCTTATTTTCTGGGAAATAGGATATTATACCTGGTTTGGTAGTGCATGCCTGCAATCCGAGCACTTGGGAGGCTGATGCAGGAGAATTGCTGCTTGTTCAATGCCAGCCTGGGTTACACAGTGAACTCAAGGTCAGCCTGAGACTTTGTCTCAAAACAAAAATAAAAACAAAGATGAAAAACAAAGAGAATTACAAATTTGAGTCCTTCCTGGGCAATTTAACAGTCCTGTCTCAAAATAATAAATAAAAAGAACGAGTAGGGGATATAATTTCATGGGAAGGTGTTGAGTTCAATCCCTGGTACTACCAAAATAAAAAAAAGAAAAAAGAAAAAACCAAAATATTGTTATGGTTATTTGCAGAGTTTCATTTTGACCAATAAATGCTTTCTTCCACTTCAATGTTAATTCTAAACATTACTTCTTAGTTCTGATTTATAGCCCCTTGATATTAATTTTTTTTTTTTGGTACCCGGGATTGAACTGATGACCTCACACTTACCAGGCAGGCACTTATGCCACTGAGTTAAATCCCCAGCCTTTTTTTTTTTTGAGACAGGGTCTCTATGTAGTTTGGGCAGGCCTTGAGCTCACTTTGTAGCCCTGGCTGGTCTCAAACTCGCAATGATCCTCCTGCCTCAGCCTTCCGAGTGCTGGGACTCCAGGCGTGAGCCACCATGCCCGGCCAATACTCATTTTCAGTCATAACTATAAGTGGTTTGGATGAATTAGTTATCAGATTGGTGGCATATCTTCAAATATCATGCATCAAAAGTCACCTGTTTCTACTGGGGTGATGATAATACTAATTTTGCACTAGTGTGAGAAACAATGAATAAATAAGATTGAAAGTGTACAATAGATATTGTGAACTGGGAAGACACTATTCAAAAGAAAAGAAACTGTGATGGGACAAAGGGTAAAGGGAGGAAGGGAAACAGAAAAAAATGTTTATATACACACAAGATAGTTAAGATGGGTGTATAAAAAAGGTAGTTATATAGCTAGTTTCTCTTAGTTCATTGAAAAGAAAGGTGTTTTTTTTTTTTTTTTTTTTTTTTTTTTTTTGTACCCAGGATTGAACTCTCGACCTAGAGCTTGCCAGGCAGGTGCTTATGCTGCTGAGCTAAATCCCTGGCCCTGAAAAGAAAGTTTTGTGCTGATACTTTTTTGGACAATATTTCATGCTTCTATCTTATACTCTGAACTACTACTATGAATATAACAATCTGCAGTGTATTAATTATTATTACTCTCCTACTTGCCTGTTTCAAAACTGTTTTATTCTTATTTTTGCTTCTTTCTGTTTAAAAAAAACCAATAATTTTGCTCACAAAAATGTCTACAGAGTGGTTTCTTTTGCAAAGTATTTAGAAGTATTTTATTTATGTTATAAGTACATATTTGTGATTCATACAATGTAGTCTATTGGGGAATGGTAAATGAGGAATACTATACTGTGTTCAAGCTTATATGTCTGTTAATTTCAGTCAACATTATATTTTCCAGTGCACCCACCTTCCTACCAATGTGTCATTTTAATCAAGTAGTATTCCATTATATATAGATACCACATTCTCTAAGAAAAATTTAATGTAATTTCATTACTACATGTTTGCAATTCATGCAGTTTACAGTCATCTTGGAGAGTGGTTACATGTACATAATGCAGATTGGGTACTACATTTTCTTTTTTTTTTTCTAATCGGTACCAGGGATTAAACTCACGACCGCCTGCTTGCAAGGCAGGTGCTTACACTGCTGAGCTAAATCTCCAGCCCCTACATTTTCTTTATCCA